CTGAGGCACAGTACCTGTAGAAAGATCGCTCCAAGCCATGGATGCACGCATTCATGTCCTGGAAGGTGCCCCAGTTGTTGAACTTCTCTGGATGCCTCATCGCAAGCGTAAGCATTCCCAATGCAAGCTCGAATACGTCTCCCAACAACTCCTCTTTGGGATTTGTCACGTTGTGGAAGAGTTCCCGTCGGTCCTCAGCAGAATATATTCTCTTCATGTGGCCAGCGTACGCAGAATTTCCAGCATGTGATAACCAATGAAGCATAGGTCGTTGTCCTTATCATAGGCCCTGTCTCACGACAGTTGCTTGGCTTTGCCCCAAGTTGCATATGACACCGCGAGGTCTGGTGAGACTCTCAAGCCACCTCAGGCGCTTGGAATCATAGATGAAAGCAGCTGATGCCAAAGCGTACTGCTCGACGATCCTAAGCTCGGCCACGCTTAGAGGCAGTGATGACAACGTCCGTACATGCTGACTGCAGTGCTTTGGTGACTTCCGGCTATCTCCACATCAATCAGAGGAACGCTTTGCCGCACCAATTGCCCATTGCCTTTTGATACGGCCCGAACTCCGCAAAGGAAAACGGATTCCAAAATTCTGACCACTAGTCGCCAATCCCATGTCCTTTCGGAGTTTGTACATTCGCTCAACGAAATGATCATGGTTCTCATCCTTCCCCGGTGTATGCCATTCGACTCCTGTAGCCATGACCTTGTGATGAGGTTCAAGGAAGACTCCTTCCGCTCCACTGTCTCATGGCATTCTTGACCAAGTCGCTGTTCACCCGGAGAATGCCGATCACCTGGTCGCTGCCCTGGTCGGTGCGTTATTCCTGCCATCCCCACGTATCAACCATTGGAATCTCATACTTAGCCGCCCACTGCATGATAGCCTTTGTAGGCGACTGTGTAAAGGCCTGCCAGTGCCACTTTGCAAAGATGCGTGCCAGTCGGACAAACACAACAGTAGACGCTGTCTTGTAAATTTAACGGCCGCTTTTTGGCCTGTGGACCGAGGTGTTGCGCTGCCTTCAGAGGCAAAACCTTGTGGATGGAGCCCATGATGAGATGACGCTGCTCATCAAGACGTCCGGGTATGCACTCGTCGCCCTTCTTGTCAGTCATGACCAGAGTCAAGGAATGCAAGAGCTTGCTACCAGCAGCCATGCCTTAGCCGTTTTCATCTGGGTCCCGTCGCAGAAAATCGCCTTTCAATGTGTGTCCGCCTTCCAATTTGTTGAATCGCTCTCCAAGTTACTGGTTGGAATAACAGGGGCATCCCAATCAGTCGGATCAAGCGTAAAAGTCGTGTCACCCGGACCCAGCCTGCCTCATCCACTTGTGATTCGGACGACTGATTCTTGCCCTTGGCTCCTGTCCTTCAGCACCCTTGCCTGTGGGATTGCCTCTACCACCGGCTGGGGAGCTAGTGACTGGGCTGCTTCTTCCCTTTATCGCCTTTTTGGACATCCTTGCCACCCTTGCCCTTGTCTTGGACGAACGCTTGGGCATCATTTGTCACGGCGTGGCCCTCCTTGCCTCGGCATCTGGCACGCTCCGGGTCCTCATTCAAAGTCACTGTCCTCCCCCGACGAGTTCAGCCAATGCCTCCTCCACCGCTTTGCGGCTTTGCGGGCAATCTCCATGATCATAGGCTTGAGTCCCGTTAACAAATCAGGACCACCAACCCTCCAGGATCGACAACTTTTGTCCAAAGACCCGGAAACTCTGTCCTCGATGACTTGTTGAGCTGCATCTGGGGATATCTCACTGAAGTAAGCCAGGGACCCTCCGATGAGTCATGCTCAGCAGCAGGACTGGATGTCACCCGGGAATGGTGAATCTTGTCTGGATTGCAACCAACAGGCATGTACAACTGGTGGTGCATGTCAATGTCAAACCCAGAGCCATGGCACTCAAAGTCCTGATCACAGTGCTCCAGGTCAAACCAACCGACCATGGACGTGTCAGGCTTGGCACACCTGTCCTCCTCAAAGTGTTCCAAGTCAAACCAGCTAACGACCATGCTGTCAAAGCCTGTGGTCATGTAGCCGGGCTCTTCCTTGAGATCATCAGCAATCAGCTGAGCATCCATCACGTGGGGAATCGCGGTGAAGAGCTCCGAGTCCTCGCCATCCCCGCAAACTTGACCGTCTCCAGAGCCCACACAGAATCCGAGTGATTCAAATCTGTCGGGTCGGCGATTTCAGATCCCTTCGGGTAGAGGGGAAGTCCATCTCACTGCCCCAGCATGTGCCTGGCATGATTGGTTTCGACTCACACACTCGCACAAGGCTGGCATGGCTGATGAAGGTTCGCGCATGATTGGTTTGCTCGTGAGGCAGTCCGCTTTTGCCGTAAAGAAGTCGCATGCTAAAGTAATTCCATCGAAATGAGAGTAAAGGTGGGATATCTTGGCGCGAACCCAAGTGCACTCGTGTCTGCTTTAAGCTTGCTGAGACTCGACCAGTCGGAGCCGAATCTGATTCATGTAATTCCCTTTCCATCTTCTTAAGATGCCTCCTCATCATCCGATCCCACATTGAGCACCATGAAAATCCCATCGCTTAATTTCACCGAAATTTTCAGCATTTTGTAATCCACATAAGTCATAAGTGATATTTGAACTAACCCGGGGCTTAGACCACGTGAAGGTCCGTCCTGAGCCCAACTCCAGCCAGAGTCTGCTGTGCTGACCATCCGACCTCTGCCCCAAGATCGCATTTGCCGTTCCGGTTTCAGCACTCACAACTAGGACAAGCCAGGCGAGGATTCGAGTACCGCGTAAGGCTTTGCGGCGGGCGTCTTCAGCCGGCACAAAGGATTCCTCCGCATCGATGTCGAGCTGTAGTTCCCAAACGCCGTCATGGGCCTTGGTGAGGATCTCGTCCGCTGGCTACTGGTCTGGGTCCCAAACCCTCGATGGTGAGGGCGGGCTTGCGGTTGCCGGCATCGTCTTCCAGGCCGGTTCCCCCAGTAGCTCTCCCTCCTCCACTTTCCAGGCGTGCAGTCAGGCCTCCAGGCCCACAGTGCGGTTGGCCAGTGCCAGTGTTTACCCGCAGCCACCGTTCCCTTTGGCCTTCTGCGTGCCTGCAAGTCCGCGTCCCCGAGCTGGACCCCCCGAGACCCTCTCAACGTCGTCGACACGGGAGTTGACTTGGCCCATAGCCCTCTGAATCTCCCCCGTAAGGACTTGGCGTTCTTGTTGCAATTGCTTCTGCAGCGTGCGTGCAATAACCTCCATCAAGACGGCGGTATCCTTAAGTTCGGTCGTGTCAGATTCCCCTCTGCCGAGATTGCTGCCTGGCGAGTGCACTTGGGAGGCGATCCCCCAAACATATGTATCGGTCCTGCTGGTCCGCAATCATAAAGTTGAGCAATTCGGTCTGGTGCAATGCAACCAGGCGGCACTTGTACCCCCCGAGCGTGGTAGTGGATGGTCGTGTAGTAACCCCCAGCGCCTGTAGGTTCGCCGATCCCGGTCTGGTGGGGATAGGCAGCAGCGGTTGCCGGTCAGAACCGTACTCGACCGTCCCCGAAGACAGCGGCGTCAGAGGACAGCACACGGATCACCAGCAATCGCGAGGCAGGACAGAAGGCACAAGAGATGTCTCCGGGTTGAGAGGGTGCGGCCCCCTAACCACGAGAAACAGAAAAGAGCGGAAAGGAGTTTGGGCGGAGGAGCCACACCTGCTTGAACCGCTCACGGCTTCTTGAGCCAAAATCTCTCGCTCTCTTGCTTGCTTGCTTGCTTGCTTGGGGTCTGAACCCCCGAAGGGGCTCCGGCCCGGAGGCCAACCCCTAGGCCCCTAGGCATGCGTCTGTATGTCGGCATGGCCCCTTTCGGGGTTGAGTGTTATCCCTGTTCCCGCGGATGTGCCTGTGACCAAACCCCCCCACCCCGTAAAACACCCTTCCCAAGACCGTGGCCACCGGTACGGGAACCTGCAGGCACAACCCGCGTCATCCAGGGGCACTCCAACAGTCGGCTGGGGGATTGGGTGACCCGTGTCGGCAACAGAACAAGGTAGTAGAATTTAGAATACCGCTTCGAGCGCACTAATCGCTTGCAATCGGATCACCTGCAGTACACTGGCGGGAGCTCCACTCGCCCAGTGCTATGGCCATGACTGCTGTACCCCTCATCGCTACCTCGCCTGACACCACCCACCCCCGACCCTGAACCTCGACTCTGCATTGTGGAGCTGCTGCATGTAAAGTTTCAGCAGCACGCTAGGACAAAACATTAAAAGGGCCTCGCTGCCCCTCCGTGCGAGTTCGCCCACCCCCGGTCCTCTGGCGGGTATAAGGTTGCAAGGGTGTCCCCCGAAAAAATTCTTCTACTGAAAAAGCCACTGCAAGGAGAGGCGCAGTTTCCCCCACGCGCATCAGGTAACACCCACACAAAAGCGTTCATCGCCCGTCGCCGCCCTCCAGAGGCGGCTGGTTTGTTTGTCTCAGTGGCTCTCAGCTTCAAGCTGGACTTTGTCCCCCCACACGAAAAGGAAAGAACTGTCACAGTCACACTGAGGGCCTCGCTCTCTTGCTTGCTTGCTTGCTTGCTTGCTTGCTTGCTTGCTTGCTTAGGGTATGGGGACCGTGTCCCGTGGCCCGATTGGAATCCCCAGACCCGAACGGACACCCCTGCCAAAAACCCCGACCATGTCAACCCTTGAAGGAGTCACCGAGGTCAGCCAATTGTCCCTCAACGATGCTAGAGAGGAGCCAGTGTATGCACAGCAGTGTATGCAAAACAGCAAAGGACACCCAACCATGCCGCTGGTTGAACACCCCGGGCCCCGAACAGTAAACACGCAGAACAACCGCTCCTCAGCGCTGGTACGGAGCTCCACTCCCCCAGCAAAAGGTGACACTTCTCTGTGAGATAACCCAACCTCACCTGCCTCCCCACCTTATCCCGAACGGATCACCACCCCCGCCTCCCTCCCTCTCTTCTTCTTCTTCCCTCCCTCCCTCTCTCTCTCTCGCCCTCCCTCTCTTCAGCTCTCGCGCTGCAGCGTCAAGCCTCCGAAGCTTCGGGCTGCTAGGAACTTCGACAAGGAAGGCGAGACTAGCAAAGGGCATAGCAGCGTCCGAGGTAGGCGCTCATGCCACATGTCACTGTCTTTACTACCCAGGTGCAGCGGGTAACCTGCACGAGCTGGGATGCTCCAGAAAAGGCGCTTGCACCGGCACGCTCGGCACGCTCGCGCACGGGCCTGGTGGCTGCGTCATCCTCTGGATCTGAGCGCGGCCGCGGAGATCCTGTGGCAGAAGCGATCCAGAAGGGCCAGGCATTGCTTTCCAGGGGGGTGGGGGGGGGGAGGGGAACGTGCCTTGTAGAAGCGCTCCAGGCTTGCCTGCGAGAAGCGCTGCAAGCAGCTGCTTTCTTCCCGACTCCCCGTCCCCCGGGCTCTTGCTCTTGAAACCGCACCACTTCTGCGACTTGCACCTCCTCCTCGGTCTGCCTCTCTTCGGCCAACTTCTTCTGGATCTGTGGCGAGAAGTAGCTGTTCTGAGTTCTCCCGGGGATCCGAGGAGCCAACGTTCTGCACCCAGGCTGCTTGGTCTCTGCGCTCCACCACACAATCCTGTAGCTCTTGTGAGTCTGCCACTCTCGCAAAATCGAAAACTTCGTATCTCGAACTAGCGACGTGTCGACCTTGCACAAGTGTGCAGAAATACTTGCAAAGCATGCGCAGGTGCCCAACAAGAAAAAACAAAGCCAAACTTCAGTGCCGAGCAATCCCGGCATTTCCGTATATCAAGCGATTTAAGACAAACAATTCTACCAAGCGAAAGCCCCATCTCGTCCTCGATCCACTGCCTGTCTGCGCTCACGGGTTTGATGCCCCGGTTGGCCAAACTCTCCTGCACCTTTGGAAAGTGTGGAAATCTTGTCTCTGAGGGGCAGCCTCTGACATGCTCCACTTGCCTTGATCCACATCTCAAGCTCCACCTTGGCTGGACGAGCGTTCCTGGGCGCTCCACTCCTGCTATGAGGCACGGTGCTGCCATTGGAAAGAGCTTGACAAGCTCCATCTGCTGCCTGTGAGAGAGGGAAAGGGGGGAATAGATCTGCGGTTAAACTCGCCGGAAACTTGGAAAGAAGGCGCGTGACGTGGAAAAACGGCCTCTCTGCGATGCTGAGAGTCTCTTGGCACTCGAAGCCGATGCATTTCAGCACGGCATAGATCTTGGCTCGGCCTGGGGCTGTGACAGAGAGCACTTCGGCCCTTGCTTTTTTTGTTGGAGTTCCTCTGCTCTGCGCAGCTTTCTGAGCGTCCTGCAATCCTCCAACAAGGCTTTGCAAGTGATTTGGCTCGCAGTGTGACATGTTTAAGGAAACGAAGGATCAGAAGGCTGGGTCCTGCTCAATGCCGCTGGAGAGCCACTGCGATCCTTGCCGCTGCTGCGCCGAAGCCGGGGCCTTCTCGAAGGCCTCGCCGCGCGTTGTGCCACTTGCGCAAGCGTGATCCCTGTGGCCTGCGGCGCGCCTTCTGCGTTCTTCCATGGCTGGCCGTCGTCACACTGGTGCCCGTGCCGGCCGTGTCTGCAAAGTTCTTGGCGTGTCGAAACTTCCCGGCGAAACGGCCTGAGGAGAGCGCTAGCGCATGAAGGGCACATGTAACTAGGTAATTGCTGACTGTTGCGGCTGGTGCTGGTGACGGTGCTGTCACCGTCATCGATGAGTTCACCAAGAGCCTGACCCAATCGGGCTTCTATTGAGGTCTCTTCCTCACTGAATAGCGGTGAGGTGTCAGCCAGGGTTGGTGGTGCCCGAGGATTGAGAGGCTGTTCCTTGGCCGAGTGCTCGGGCAAGCACTTTGTGCAAGAATGCTCTTCCCGAAGCGTCTGCACTTGTCTGTGCCGGGGCGCCAGGTCACGAATCACGCCATCCGGAGCCAAATTCCCTGCGGCCTGTGGCTTAAAGCGCATTTTGCGATGCGTTGTATGCTGCCTTGCAGGCTGCAGCGACATGCCATGGGCCTGCTGCTCACACTGCCAAAGCTCTAGGAGAAGTCTCAGCGCACCCTTCATGGTCACCTGCAAAAAAAAAATCTGCTGAGCAATCTGCTAGCGTCGAGGACTCGCATTCCCCCCCCTTCTGCGCAGGGGTCTTGGGTCGCTCCTGCGAGTTCCACTGCGTGAAGAGCTTGGCGGCCTGAGAAGTCGTGGGGGGGGGGGCGAAGGCGGCAAAGGCGAAGCTCCAGCGGCGCCTTCTTGTATTCCATGAGATCTGCCAGGCATCCGATGATCTGCCGCCTCGGGGATGCGTCAGCGCGACCCCCAACGGGGAATTCTGCAGGCGGTGTTTAGGTGTCTTCGCATTCGCCCACCACCCCCCCACCCACCTCGGAACCTCGACTTGCCATGTTCAGCCCTTTGGATCAACGCAGAGTGGCACCACGGCAGCCCTGCGGCCCATACAGTCTATAAGAGGGTCATACTGCCCCCCAGTCATATCTCAAAGTGGTCGCGAGACCTTCTCGGAACTACCTGGAGCGCTGCACGCAAGCGGAGGTGTCCAAAGAGTTTCTTTCCTGGCCTGTGCTATGGATGTAAAAGCATGCCGAAGGAACGATACCGTGGAGTATCCATCCAAGGCCCAGCGACCGCTACGGATGGCCCTGGAGGAACTGCAAAGACTTAGTGCCTTCCAGCAGGTTGCGACCAAAGTTCCTCCGTCCTACTATGGACATAGCAGTCGTTCTGCTTTCGAGGATGCCATCGACAACTGGGATTATCACTGAATGAATTGAAAGCCAAGAAGCAAGGTCCAGTCTTGAAGAATCGTTTAGGATGTGAAGCAACAATTTGCAAAAGGCTCCTTGACAGAGAGCACCTAAGAAGGATATGGGAGTGAGGTGCTTGAATTCCTGCGCCCGTTCTTTGTGGCCCTGGCAGAACCTCTGAAGAGCTGCTGTGCGAGGACTCAAGTTGAAAGTTTGAGCTCATAGCATCTGATTCCCGAAGTTTCACCCGTCCCCATCTGTGTCGTGGCCCAATGTTCGTTCGGCACACTTTCATGCTTCGCTCACAACATCTTGAGGCTGTTGTTCACCAGTCGGAGCATTGCAGCCTGGACTGAGCGCGGGCAGTTTTTCACAATCATATCCTCGCTTTTGAGCCTCAAAGGCTGCTGCAGAGAGCCCACGCCAGAGACAGCATTCTACCCTATGCTACCCTCAAAGCTCTGCGCATCCATCGGCCTATCGTGCTTCCACTAGTACGAAGGCTTTCTAGTGTTCTAGCGGCTAGCGTTTGCCACCAAGGTGCTTCAGGAGCATCGGAGCCACCTCGAGGCAATCGAGAAGTGCGAAAAGCCCACCTCGTCGGCGAGTCCACACGACACGACAGGAACAACTCGAATCGGTGAGCCAACGTGCGAAGTTCGCAGATGGCCCACCTGCGTCCAAGAACCGGATCTCGTTCTTGCGGGTTCCGACGACGGCGTTCCAGACCTCAGAGGAAGGCAGCAGCTGAGGGCAGCCCGAGAGTCGCTCTGAAGAGAGTGGCTGCTCTGACTTGGCTGGGCCCGCGGCGCAGTCCACCACACACAAGCTGTAGAAGAGGTGGTTGTCGGTGGTCTCACCGGGCCGGTAGACCACCTCTGACTTCGCTCGAAGACTCGACGTCGGGCTCAGGCTCTCTCCCTGCCTCGTCACGCATGGCCTCGACGCCGTCCTTTTTTCGGAATTCGCGAGCATTCTCGGGGTACTCTTTGCACCTGAAAGTGCGGGTTGGCACCGCCGACAACCCTAGCTTCAGCAGCTTGGGTTTGAAGGGATGTTTGGACGGGTTTTGCCCGTTGCCCGGGGTTGCCTACTGCTCTTTTTTTGCTCCAGCACAACAATTCTGGGCATGCTACAGTAGGCCTTGGTTCAAGGCTGGGGCCGGCACATGGTCGCCAACACCGAGGCGCACATTTGCCTGGAGGTCATGGGATTGTCCTCGGCAGTCAGCGAGGGTTCCCACACGGGCTTCGTGGCGATTGGTGTTCTTGTCGGACTACCTACCAGTTCATCTCGCCTTGTCCGTGAAGAGCTCCACTAAAGTTCCCACGGCTCCAAGCTGACCCAGATTCTGCCAGCACTCAGCACGGGCGAGCACATGCCAGTGTCATCAAGAGGAAATGCCACTGTTGTGCGCGCATCACTCCGCTCCTCGGCAAAGTGTGGGCCCATGCGCACAGCGACCTCACAGAGAACTCACAGAAGCAGAGGCGTGTGCTCGGCGAGCGCATTCAACACATCTCGCACGCACAGTTCGCACATGTTCGCACCTGCAGTAGGTGAAGACACTTCTTCTGAACTTCCCGGCTTCGCGTTGCCTAAAGAGCATCAGGACATGGCCGAAGTGTTTCGAAGCCACCAGCCCACTCCAGCAGATGAGACCCCGGCCTGAAGCAGCTGCAAGACCATAGCATTGCCCTGTGCCTCCATAAAGGCGTCCGGCACGTATTGTACCTCGGTCAGCGGATGCGCCTTCAGAGGGCAGACCGGCCGCTCGTGCGCTCTCAAGAGCTGAGCTGTAGGACCAGCTGGAACAAGGAGGACAAGGCTTCCAATTGCACCTGCAACGCAGAGCTGCTGGTTACAAGGCATTCCATCATGTCAGTTCTAGTCTAACCTTGCACATGCCCTGGAGTTGTTTAAGCTTTGGCTCACCATGCCATAGAGAAAGTTTGCAAAAGCAAGACTGCCCGAGCGGTGAATTCAAGCCATTCAACATCCCTTCAAGCCTGCTGGTGAAAACAGGGCACCTGTCGCCGTTGCTCTTGGCTCCACTTCTCTGGCGGTGCCTCGGCCTCAGTAGCTTCACGGCTGCATCACCGACAATCGCATTCGGCAGGGGAACGCTGGGACATGCTGGGACCAGCGGGGACCCGGCATCCAAGCACTCGAGGAGGGACTCCACGAAGCCACACTGCACAGCTGCCTTTTGCAGGAATGCATACTTCATAATACATATAAAGCGCTTCCTTGCTGGAGGCTCTGCATCGCCGCTTCGCGCGACCATGCGCGAAGAATGCGGGAGAGAGAGAGCAAAAAGGTGGGGTTTGCGTTCTGCTTTCAGGGGCTTCGCCTCAGCACATGGCTCGGAGGAGCAGCATCGCGCCAAAGTGCCCCAAAGCAAGGTACGGAATTCCATGTCCTCGCAGCAATCAAGAAGGAAGCGCCCTTCGGCTGCATTGCTTGACGCCTCCTGGGTGTTGGTGAGGGGTATGCCCTTGGAGGCCTGGCAAGACGACAGGAATCTTAGCCTGATGCTTTTGTTTGGCGGTCACCTTGGCACCATCGCCGAGGTCAGGCAACACACGGGCCTGCACCAGAGCCACTTTGCTTAAAGAACTCACACACAGGCGACTTCGGCGACTTCGGGCCTCTCGCAAGTACTTCTCCTAAGTAATAATTGAAGTCGCTTGCTGAAGTGCTCATGGGTCGCAAGCTCTGCTGAGGCTCCAAAAAGCCGCTCTGCAGCAATTCCCTTCGCCGTGCCTCTGACACCTGGGATTCGCCATTCACACTCGTCTCGAACTGTCTCTTCCCGCGAGACGGAGCAGTGCACGATGACATTGGTCTCACAGGCGAACCAGCACGACTCAATGTTTTTTTGTTTCTTTGAGCCAGAGGGACGGCATAGCTCAGGAGCAGCGCCATAAGCCTGGCGGCTTCAATATTTGGATGTACAGTGTTCAGTTGGCTGCACTCCGTGGTGCGCACCCGGTGGAGGCGAAGAGGGTGCGATTCTCTACGCGCTTGGAGATGTACATGAGGAGAACCATCATGTCGTTCCGGAAAATCTTATCCTGAGGTCGCGGCAAAACAGGCTGCTGTTTTCTGGGTTTCTTTTTGCGCTGAATCATATGCGCCTTAAACCGGTATCCGCGGGTGAGGACGGCATTCATGAAATCGCGGAAGGACTCGATGACCTGATCGGACTCCACAGGCTGCGCCAGGTTCGGCACCATTCAAGCATCGCCACTGAAGCATCGGTACGCAGTCTGTGGCTGTAGGAGGCATAGATTCATCGCAACAAGTTATCAACCCTGGGCTCAGCATGGGGCCTATGTAGTGCGCAAGTGTTTTTAAGCATGTGACAGCAGAAGCACAACTGACACTGAGCTAATCACTTTGGGAACAAACTCGGAGCAGTATTGAGAGGCGGCACAAGCAAGGTGGTGATATTGAGTATAGGTATTGTTTCGGGTTTGTTCGCCAATGACCTTTTTGCCCCTGAGCCATGATACGGGCATCAAGTTCGTCATCATTAAGAATTCCTGGTATCAGAGCATTAATACTCACACATACGTGCTGCCAGCAATCATGTATGCGTATTGTAACTCAATAGCATGAGGTTCTTCGAGGGGCCAGCTCCCTCTACTCTCTCTGGCTCGTTCGATCTCGCTCGCTCTCTCCCTGTTGGGACTGGCCAACAGGGGGAATCCCCCCACTTTCGCAGGCGGAGTAGCTGCAACCGTTGCAGGCCCCGGAACCAAAAAGTGGAAGCGAAAAGCAAAAGGTGCAGGTCTGAATTGCCTCATGCCTCATCGCCCATGCACGGTACAAAAGACAGACATGCGCTGGACCGTGCATGCGGCATGAGCATGGAGCACTCAGGACAGCGGCAGTTAAAGAGTTGCAACGCACGAGGTGGGGTGGACTTTGTCGGGATGTTTGACGGAAAGAAAGGAAAAAAAAACCTGGTGCCCTGCATTGGGCGGATACACCGACCGTGTCGGCTCATGCGTCTGTGCAGTAACCCGGCCTTTAGGTTAACAGGGCTACAACAGTGGCTGGTCCCTTGCATCTGACGGATACACTATCCCTGCCTAAGTTTGAGGCTGATGAGCTTGAGGTTCCTTAATTGCCCAGATGGTTATCGAGCATATCCAGCACTTCTTCAACTTGTTCCTGCTGGCTTTATCCGCGGTCTTCATTCTACATCCGTGATACCAGGCTTCTCAGGTTCCTCTGAAAGTCAATGTAAGCATTGCTGGTGCTCTAAGGGATTCCTGGACATGCGTTCCGTTTCGTTTTCGAACACCGCCGGCAAGGATTCACGACGACGGGTCCGAACATGAAACACCATGCGATGCACCGAGTGCTTATACTTACCACTCCACAGGAACAGCACTCGCGGCATCACACTGTTCAGGCCGGGAGGAAATATTTGGGTCCCCCCTCGCCCCGGTAAAGCAGTACTCCCTCGCTCCCTCCACTTAACCCGTTTGGGAAGCAGTCGACGAGCAATGGAAGGCTTACGGTTTCTCCTGGAGCCGAGTCCGACGCCTTTGAGGGTGGGACCGGGTGAAATTAATCGATTTGTGTCAGACTCCGACAATGTTCGACTGTGCTGACCGTGCTGAAGCCTGAAGCCTTCATCTTCCATGATAAGATGAAAGGGATCGCCAACCCGCCTCCTCTTGGCCGAGGGCCTCGGTCGCCCCATCCTGGCAGAGAGGACTCGGGGGCTCCCAGAGAGGACCCTGGGCAGTGCGGATTTTGCGGAACGCTTCGACCCTCAATCTCACGAGCCACAACAGTCAATCATCCTCAGAAGCCTTGATGCTTGGCTTGCTTAGGTTTCGATCAGAAGCATTTGGCCCCTCTCTGCTTCGCTATCTCCCCTCTCTTCCGAAGCTGCCGGCATGGCCCAGTCGAGCTCCAGAACCTTGCGCGCGCAAGGGCTCCACAAGAGTGCCTCACGGCTCCGTCTTGGAACTTGGGCCGAGGCATTCCAGAGAACCTCCGCCGCGACAAGCAGGACGTCAGAGCCTTTCTGCGGCAGCTTAAGTGTTTTTTCGCCAAACGACTCTTGGAGCCAAAAAAAGTTTGTACTCAGGGGTTGGCCGAGCAAATTCACACGGATGACGTGGACAAGGTTGGAGATCAGACCGCAATTGGTAATCTGGCATGCGAGGGGCCTGTACAAGGACCTCAGCTCTGGAGGAGTTGTCGATACCATGTTGCGCAAGAGCGCCCTTTGCCCTTTTGTCTTTTTCCAAGGAACATGTCCCGGATCGCACCAAGGGTGATGACGATCGACTGGCAGATCGTTTGGCATTTCTTTTTGAGCTAGCTGATATCTGGTGACGTGCAGGAAAGGAGTCTTTTGCCTCGGGGCTGTCTTCCGAGCGGAAGGAGGCAGAGACTGCATCCTCGGAGCTGCGTCGAGAAAAAAGGAAGGTTGCAAGCGGCTCGTGGGACTCGTGGGCTCCAGCCATGACGTTGGACTGTCGCAGAATCCGCAAATTCGGGGTCCTCAGCAGAAAAAGCGGAGCCGTACTGGGCTGCAGAGAGATCCTCGCAGAGGCCCCGGCCCGGAATCCGCGACCGCTTGGATCAGCGGCTGATTCGGTAAGAGCTCCACGCCTGGGATCCCGCAACTCCCGCTGTGCTGCGGATCCCCCCTTTGTCTTAGGGCCAAAGCTGTCTTCGTCCAGGCCGAAACGGGCCCAGCAAGCCAGGGTGTGGGCGACCTACGACGGCTCTCGCGAATGCTTTTTGCAAGCGCGCTTTTGCGACTCTCGCACCTCGATCCGAAGGCGCTCGAACATGGCCTTCCGCTCTTGTCGGGCCTCGGTCTCGAAAGCTCTTGGGTCTTAGGCCCTCCACGAAACCTGCCCCCTTCGCTCCGCCTCGCTCGCTCCCGGCAGTGTGTAGGTCAGGACACTGACCAAGCCCTGTTTCAAGGGCAAGAGACCAAAGTGGGCTTGGCCAAAAGAGCAGGGCCCGCCTTGATGAACGCAGGGAGGTGGTGGCCGTAGGTGATCATGTCTGAGGTCTCAGCGAGGGGACAGGGTGCTTTCTTTCAACCCCACAGCGAAAGCCGACCAGCCTTGCAGCTGACAAAGGGCTGTGATGCCACGCGAGTGAAGTCGCACAAAGCCTGCGCCAAGTCTTGGCCTCCGAGCAAGAAGGATCATCTTGCGGTCTGCGTATCCGACACTGGGATTCACCAGCCTTCAGCAAATCTTTCGACCTGATCACTGGCTTAGGCAAGCTCCTACTAGCAAAGCCTTATAAGCTGATCGGAGGTCCATGCGGCCAAATGTAGCAGGTCGACCAGTGCTTCCAAGTGCTTCAAGAGGAAACCTCTGGACGCATCTGGCCGTGTACGGTAGGCACATGAAGGTGAAGGCTCAGTGTGTAGGCGCCGTGCCATTGCAGCAGACCTTGCAAAGCTTGCGTATTGCAGCGACGTGTCGGTCCTCAGCCACAGCATGCACTCATCGAGTTCTTCATGCGGAGTTTTCCAGCAATTGAAAAGCACTCGGCTACCAGGTCAATGGTGTACTTGGAAGTCCTCGGACATAAGCGTAGCATCCGCTGTGCCGCTACGTGATTGATTTCACTCGAAGAGTGACACAATCCAAGAAGAGCCCAAGCACATAAGCTCCATGATGGCGCCGAAGTCGACTTCGTCGGGCCTCCAAAAAGACACTGAAGGGCACTGCTGTCATCGGCGCCGCTCTGGGGCATCTCGGCTTCCGAGCTTCCGGCGCGGATGCAATGGTCACGGTGGTAGCGCCGGCTTTCTCTGGGTCCATCCTGGAGCTCAGGAGCTGAGGCCGGAGAGGACAGGCAGAGGGGACAGGCAGAGGGGCCTTCACTCCAGCCGGCGCCCGTCCGTCGGACGGAACTAAACGACTCCTAAACGACCTGCCCCCATTCGAGCCACCGCTGAAGAAAGCCCAGGCTTTTGGGGAAACGGAAGCGAGGAAGAAGCGCGGAATTCGAGGAGTCCGATTTTCCAAGCATCTCAAACAGACCAGCCGGCAGACCAGTCGGCCCATGTCGCCTCTGTACATATCACGTGATCTCACGAAGGCCTCGGGTGAGGCCAGCAGGACATGGTGCGCTGTTTGAGCCACAGCATCCTCGGGACACAGCAATGCCGGCGATGCGGGCCACGTTGCGATAGACTTTGCCTAGTCTCTTCAGGAGAACTCTTTACGAATCCGACGAATGGACCGGCCTGACCCCTCATCGTGCCCTTACGTTCAGCACTCTGCTGCTGGTACCTGGAACACTTTACAGGCATGCATCTTGATTTGCGGACAAGTTCCCTGTTGGAGAAGACTCGGATTCGAGACAGAAGCTCATCACGAACATGTGTGTTGCGACATGAAAGGGGCTGATGCCAGATCCTGGTCCTAACTGCGAGGGTCCACGACTGTTCTCTTCATGACATCGCAAGGGAAAGCTCCGGAGCCTTCCCCCAGACCGAGACTCGACAAGACTCGACTGCAGAGATCGTGGCATGTCTGCTGCGATGCTCGCAGTCCCCGGCTTCGGGCGTACGCGAACCAGGCCTGCCCTCGGCACTGCAGAAACTCCTGGGTCTGTAAAGCGTCGCAGGACTCGCATCAAAGGAGGCTTTTCTCATGAGGCTTGGAGCGTCCTTCTTTTCCGAGAGACTGACTCGAAAGCCTTGTTTCTCTCCTGCGGCCTCAAGAACTCCACCATGGGAAACCAGGAAAAAGAAACTTGCGGCTGAGGCCACCACAAGATCTGCTGACCTGCGCAATCCATTCATCGAAGGTGCAGATGGATGTCACAACTATCCCCCATCCTCGCCTCCGTTGCAATGCCGATTCTGTGGCCACTTTGGCAAACGGGAGCAGTTCCTGCTGTCTTTGAAAAGCTTTTTCTTCTCACAGAACATCAGCATGAGGAGAGATGGTCCTTAAAGGCTTCAGGGGGTTCTGGCACCGGCTCGCCGCAGCGCAGCGCCCCCGAGAACCTGGTGTTGCACAACACGTGCCTCCTCTTCGAAGAGCGCGCCTCTCTTTCTCCGTTCTGAGGCTCCGGCTCTCCGCCGCTGGTGTTCACCTCTCGCGCACCACAAAACACAGAAAGAAAAGAAAGAGAGAGCTAGGAGCTAGTCTTTTTTCTTGGAGGGGGGGAGGGATCTTCTGACCTTGGCGTGGTAGCTGTGCGCACCTGGGACTTGGACGCTGTTGCGCACTCTCTGCACATGCCCGTGTTCTGAGCTTCCTGCACACAGCCTCATGGCCCGGAGGCAGTGGGACTGGTACCACTGGAACCTATCGGCGCCAGCGCCAGTGATAAGGCCCCGAACACGAGCGCCGCGAGGATGCGCGCACCTGCAAACGCCTCAACTCCTCGTAGAAGCTGATGTCCTGCGAGGCCAGGACAACCAGGGCTGTCAACTGGGGGTCCTCCACGCCGCTCCTCGGACCACTCCACGTCAGGCACCGGCGCGAGCTCCCAACACGCTCTCGTGAACATGTAAGAGAAGCCTTGGTGGAAACCAGCCGTGGGAGCAAAGACTTCAACAGCGTGCTCTAATTGCTAACTGCTAGAGTTGACGACGAAGATACCACGAGCTTCGAAGCTTTGCGCTGCTTTGCAAAGGCGTGGGTAAAAGTTGTGGCCCTCTCTTCAAGAGGTGTAGGCCGCGGCCTCTGGGCGGCATGTCCAGTGCGGTGACTATGGAGGCACCGTCTTTACGTGGCCCACTCGTTTCATTGAAAAAGCTCGAAATACGTGGCGGGGGTACTCCCAGTGCACACCGACATCAAAAACCGGTGGCGTACTCCGGCGCTCCTCTCGCGTGTGAAAGCTCCCACCAAGGAGGCGTGGGGGGGCGGGGGGAATGGGCGGGGTGAAACACTGAATGTTACACACCCAGGAGACACCTGCGTTTGCCTGTTTCCCTGAACGCTTTTGGCGATTTTGTCGCAGCCAAGGCCCTGGCCCCAGCCGTATAGCCAGCCATGTCTTTGCTCTCGAGGGATCTCAGAAGTTCCCGAGGCCCGAAGACATCTGCACTGCGCTCTGTTTCTGAAGGCGCAACCAATGGGTCCCTTTCCACGTCCATGAACCCGAAGGTCATATCCTTGTAGTCATCTGTCAAAAGCTGCACATGAATATATATCTTCTGGTGATTTGAAGGAAGCACGCATGCCGCATAAGTGGCAGACAGACAAATCCAGTAAATGCCTCCGCTCCGAGCTCTGCAAGAGACTTGGCCGACTTGATCCTGCTCGTGTAAGCCTCGTCTTGCTGCGCTAAGTTCCGGGCCACTCCCGAAGGGTTATGGCCACGGGGATGAGCCTGCGATCGGATAGCTGAATAGCAGCTCTGTCTGCAACGTCTAACGTCTGCAACCCCACTCCTGGACTCTTTGTGCAGGGGCGGCTGCTTCTCTTTCTCCTCCCTCTCCTTCTTCTCCTTTTCACTTCTTGCCTGTGTGCGAAGTGTGTGGGGTCGGAGTATCCCGCCGGCAGACCCCCGTCCTTGTCCAAGGTCTTGTCCAGGCGCTGCTTCATCCAGGTGAGGTAGCCGCTGGCATAGAGATCGTCGTCATCGAAGTGGGCCAAGATCTCGCCTGCAAAGTCGCGGCAAGCTTTTTTTTTGGGCGTGCCCACACATTGACAAGCCTTGGGCGAGCTGGATGGCCACATTCCGCTTGAGTCCCAGAGACCACGATGCAGATGCCTGTCTCGACAAGCGCATTGGGCTAGCAGCAGCTGTGCATTGTCTGAAGCAAGAAACAGCCGGAATGCCAAAGAATGCCCGAACTGCGTATGTCAGCTCTGCTTCGGCACCTGCCTCTTTATGTAAGCATCTCGGGCACAGGGATCTCTTCTTGTCGGAGATTGCGGGCGGTGGGAGATAGTCCGCTGACGACTGGACTCGCTCTGGCCTTTCATGCCTTTCTTTAAACTCGTCTCACTCGCGGCGTGGACGGTGAGCTGTGCTCAGCTCTCAGACGCAGTGCTCTAGCCAAAAAGCGCCTAAGGATCTCATGCTCTTCGTGGCTTCACTTTGTCGGCGCCTCCGAGCCGGACTCTGTCCAAACATTCTGGTCGCCGATGCTGAAGGTGACAGGTTTGCCTTCTGACAATCAAGCCGATTAAGCCTGTGAGGCCTACAAGCGGGGAAGAGCGCGCCTTCTTTCCATCCTTCCGGCATGTCCTGAACTGCAAGCTTCTGGGGCAGGGCATTGGCTGGAGATGATGAGCGAAGTATGCGAGAAAAAAATGAGTTGAAATCAGGGTCAAGAAAGAGGAGCGATTGAGGTGACGCAGATGGGCCATGCAAGAGCGACTGGAGAGTCGCTCGTAGTTGCAGCGCGTGCATGGGGCGCGCACCATGCGCGAGTCGGCGACCTGGTAGTGCCGGTACACCACGCGCGCGTCCTCGCCTCGGCGAGCGGCCGGGGGCGAAGGCCGCGGGCGGCTGCAGTGCCCGTGCGTTTCTCTTAGGAGCGGACGGGCCTTCGCCTGCAAGAGCTTTTGTTTTGGAGCAGAGGAGGAGCGGTCGGCGCTCGGTGGGTCGGTGCCCCCCCTCCCCCTTTCTTCGCCTGCAGGAAGTCGGACGGCAAAGGCCCAGTGTCTACCACCACCTGCAATCGAAGGGACAAGGGACTTGGGAGCCAAGCCGGTTCGAAGGCGAGATGAAAGCAGACTGCTGCGCGGCCAGCTGCTTGGGTTCGTAGTCCTGGTGTCGGAAACACCTCACCGTAAGGCGCTGTGACTTGCACTGTGACGCACCAAGACCTCGGCTGCTTCAAAGCGGCTCGTAGAGGAGAGGGTGGAAGCCATGACGTACAAAGCTGGTCGGAGCGACCACAGAGATCAACTCGCCCTCTCCATTAGGCGGCCGGTGAGGTACGCGATCCTGGACATCCAAATGCGCTACATTCTTCAGGGCTCTCCGTTCCCTCGGTGAGCGCCTGAGGGTCGAAAATGCCATCAGTAAGCCTCGCAGCGACTCGCACATGGACAAAACCGGCACGGCCATTTTGCCACCATCGCTCAGGGCGTGGCACGAACAATGCAGCTTCGCTAATGGTCCAGCTAGGGGCTACCTGAGTGTAGGATGAAGGGCGGCCTATCGAGGAGCAGCTCTGTCACGCAGCGAAGCAAAGTGGAGAGACCGCTCCGCTAGACGGGCAAGGCCCAAGACGATGCGCACCGGGTGTCAGATCCAGCTGAAACTGGTCTGACAAACTCGTGTTTGTATGCCGTTCCCGAAAGTGCCACAGAGCCTCTTTCTTGGGCCCCGGCGAAGGGGAGTCGGGGATGCAACCTCAAAGGGACCGCACAGAGCTCTGAGTCTGAGTGTCTGAGTCCGTGCAGGCCGAGGGAAGCACGGGCATGGCCTCCAGCTCCGTACCTCGACTGGACCGGTCTCTGGCCCCGGCCCTCCCCCATTCCGCCTGGATTTTGAAGGGCCGCGGCCAGCGCGCGGACCCGCGCGGCCCGCTGCTGCACCTCGCGAAGCCTCGCAGCTAAGCTCTCAGAGCAGAGCGCCGCGGCGCCGCGGCGCCGCGTCAGCAGGCGCAGCTGCTCCCGAGCCCGGCGCCAGGTCTCGAGGCTTTGATGCTGGTGGCTCGGACCTTAGTCAGCGAAGCGCGCTGAGCTCTGCGCTCTCTTTTCGCCGCTCCACTGTAAAGAACCGGGCTTGCGACAGCCGCAGCGCAGGCACCGGGCCGGAGCCCTCAAGCTTGTGGGTACGAGGGCACCCTCATCTTCCCGTGGCCTGTTGTGTCACACATCCGTCAGATGTCCACCTCTTGCACCGTCATGTCTGGGAACGGGGCCAGAAGAGGAGCCCACCCTGGAATCCCGGACAAGCTCTGCACCTTAAGTTCGGGATCAACTTCACGAGTTGGAGTCCCAACCCATATATCTTGGCTGAGCATCATCTTGCATGGTCCGCGGGGTACCTCGGCAGGACGCCAAAGATGGCAGTGAGATATACAAGAGGAGGCTTTTTCAACTTCGGAGCTCCCAGTGCGTCGGCTTGGAGTTCGCGGCGCTCTCGCTCCTCTCGCTCCTCGCCTGCAATTGCAGCTCTGCAAAAGAGAGCGTCCGACGAAAAAAAAGACGGCCCCCCTTTGTTTTCAGGACTCGGTTACGGCTAAGGCCTTTCCCCAGGGCCGCAATCAGCTTGCCCAGGCCAGGCGGGGGCATGGATCATGGCATCCAGCGCACTTAAGCTCTGCTTACGTACCATGGGGTTTTTTACGAAGAGTAGTTTCTTGAGCCTCTTGCTGCTAGCTCCCATGACGTTTTTTGATCGTCTTTTGCTGCTACGGAGTGGCACTGACAAGGCAAATGCAAAAGAAGCGCGATTTCGAATTTCGCGAAACTCGTTTTCAGCGGCGGGCCGTCGCGACCCCAATTAAGGAGCCGAGATGGGATGCGCGCCCGGCTGCGGGCCTTTCTAAGGGCCGAAAAGGAGCCCGGACTGTGGCGGGAACTTTCTTTGAATTTGTCAAGGGGGAGATTATCGTTTCAGTATTGGAATTTCCAATGAATCTCGGTCCCTTCAGAACGACACCTATGCGGGACTGTCAAAAGAACGTGATTTTGCTCGAACGTCCACCGCACCACAGGGAACCGCTGCGTTCGCGTCCGCGAGCGCCTCCTGCGAACACAAACCAATATTTCTCTACACTGAACATATGAGACCCCCAATACCAAACCTGCTTGGGGAAATCATTGTGTCATAGGAAACATAATACGAAGAACAAACTTGCTGCACCCGGCTGCTGAATCATCCAAACCGTTCATGAGACGGACTTCGGAAAGACAAGACCGGCACTCTGCAGCGTGCGAAGTCGCCGATTTTGGCCTCAGCTCTGGTGAGTCCTTGCTAAGGTCTTGCTTTCCCTTGGCCCAGAATCCCGAAGAACTTCCAAACCGGAGCCGTCCGGCAGGCCAGGCAGGCCAGGCCCTCGCTGCCCTCGCCTTGGCTGCCTTGGCTCGCTGCTTGGTCTCTTCGCTGGTCTTCAAGCTGTGGCAAGGTGCGCAAAGAGTTTGCAGATTCTCGAGGCCACACGCGCCGCCTCCTTGCCAAACAGGCAAAATGTGATCGGCCTGCCACAAAGATCCCTCTGTCAGCTTGAAATCGTCTGGGGACTCGCTGTCAAAGCGAGTTAGGTGCGAAAGCAATGTGTGCAAAGCCGCTGACTGTGCTGAGTTGCTCTCCGCTGCCATCCTGCTATGCTTTTGAAGCTCCTCGAGCCAACTGCTGTTTGAGCTTTTCAGGTTCTGCCACAAGCCGTGGCAGTCCAGGCCACAGCGCTGGCAAACGCCGCGCTCCAACTCGAAAAGCTGGCGGCGCAGGCTCGCGCCACTCCTCTTTCCGAAATACCTTGCTCGACACGGTCCGGCACAAAACATCTCACCTTCGCCGCTCTCGCTCTTTCTGTGCACACGTAGAGATGTACCGTTCCCGCTCCAGCTTTCGGCAAGCTCCAAGGACATGGGGAGCGGCCGACGGCACTCCATGCAAAGAAGGACAGGGGTCTCGAGGGAGGAAGAGGACATCGGCTGCAGGAAGCGAACCGTCTGTCCACTGAGGCGGCCTGTCTCGTAGTGCACCAAGACCTCACACTGCTCCTGCAGTGCTATGCATCATAGCATGCTCTTAACCCCTTTCTCTGCCTGGCGGCCTGGGGCGCATGTCGGTCCTCTTCTCCAACTGGGTGTGGATGCAAGAAGCGGCGGGTGGAAGGCGCGGCGATCGGCCTCACTTGGAAGTGCTCGGCCTGCAAATCCTTGCGATGGGATTGCATCAGCTTAGCAGCGGCCTAGATTCCCCCGGCCCACCTCTGCCCGATATGGCCTGCCCATTGCCATCTTCTGCTGGAGAGGTGTCAGAGACTTCCAAGCTTTCTGAAAATCCCGCGCTTGCTGCAACAAGCGCTCTGACTCTCTGAGCGAGAGCTCGCGGAAGAGCTCTGGATCCTCTGAGGCCTCTTCCGGTCGCAAGCTCATCGCCAAGGGCCGGCCGTCGCGACGGAAGGGGTGCAGCCGCAGCGTGTGAGGCGACATCTCGAAGGCGAACTGCAGACTTTCGCATTCGCCGCTGTCTGCAGGATCGCCGTCAAGCGCAGCCATAGATAAATGCTCAGCGGAGCCCAGCATCATTGCCTCAGCACTGCACCTGCCTACAAGTGAGAGAAGGGCGAGTCCCGCAAGCGAAGATTCAGAACTTGCGCGAGTTCGATTTTCCCTGTGGAACATCGGAATTAGACTTAGAATCAGATCATATAACCCATCAAATTACCCACAGATGCACGTGGATGCATGCGAGTCTGCAAGATAATTATGCTTCTATGCGTGCTGCGCTGCGGGGCCATCCTGGAGAGCGGCCACTTCGCGGAGCCGCCCCGAGAGCCCGAGCCATCGCTGGCGATCCACCTGGCATAAAACCGAGAGCTGCAGGACATGCTCTGCATTTTTGCCCGCTGGGAGGATCCCTTGCAGCATGTCGCAGCCTCTCTTGGGCGACAAAGCCCCTTCGAGGGGGGCGCGGCAACCACATCAAGACATGCAACACCACGACCCACGACAGGGAAGTCCCAAACAAATGCAAAAGACACACTACTGCAATGAGACTTCGGAAAATCTGCTTCCCATAGACGAAGCACCAGACCCTCTGCTACATTGAGCACACGCTTCCTGGCCGAAAAGTACACGACATTGTGGCGAACACAAGACGTCGAATCTCTGAAACCGTTTTTTGGCTGCATGCTTCTGCGGAGCCTGGCCAGAACAGAAGCAAAGGGCACGATTTCTGCTGTGCGGCAGCCTCAAACTCCAGAATTGAGTTTGATGTTCTGCCCTCTGAAACCCTTCCTTTCAGTCTAGCCTGTGCTCAATGCAACAAAGCAAAGGGTGCGAGTTGCGAAACCCCCCAATTCAGCTCCATTGGCTTCCGTGCATCTGGATGATCTCCTGTCGCAGCCAGGAAGCGTGCGCTGGCAATGTCTTCGGTCAGGCTTTCGTCAGAGACTTTTGCCTCCCGCCTAGCTAGGTGACGAAGTGCGGAAAGTGCTTTGATTCAGCACGAGCAGGTCTCCTCTGCTGGTCCACCAGTGCCATCGCAGTGACTGTGGCTGAGACATGTCGCCTCCCCTTGTGCAACGAAGTCAAAGGAGCCAAAGAGCGCCCGCTCTGCGCTTTTTGGAACTCCTGGGGGGGCCCTCGTGTGTCCAGCTTTCAACGGTACAGCCAGGCCCTGATTGAAAAGAATTGCTTCTTCTTGTGTTGGGCATGGCGAGTCAAGCCCCCAAGAATCAGCCCGTTTGCCGGCCTTTGTGATGTTGCTTCAACTAGCTGCACACATCTTCGAAAGCGAACTTAGCGTGTAAATATAATCACTGCAGACATGCGGGCAACACGTTTGCCCGCACGAGCGGCATTGTGAGATCAGCGTCATAGCGAAGCTCGAGAACTGTCGCATCCCGACGGAAACCAGAGCACAGCAATGCACAGCACCGCTCTGTGTCCTCTCTGTCTCTCTCAGAGGGAGAGAGAGAGAGAGAGANNAGCGAGAGAGAGACAGAGAGAGAGATAGAGAGAGAGACAGAGAGAGAGACAGAGAGACAGAGAGAGGGAGGCAGAGAGAGAGAGAGAGAGGAGGAGAGAGAGAGAGAGAGAAAGAAAGAAATAATCACAGAAAGCAAGAAATAAAGAAAGAAAGAAAGAAAAAGCGAACGAAAGGTCGCTCCGCCTCTCCTTACCCTTGCGAAAGAGGGAAAGCGAGTCTCCCTCTCTCTCTCTCTCTGGCCCTGCCTGGCAGCACTGGGCCACGTCGCCTTCCCAATCCTTGCCTTTGGCTTTCCGAGCGCTCGACTCATTGCGCCTGGCTCGCTTGGGTGCCTGTTCTTCGCGGTCAGCGCAGAGCATCAGCACGTCCACTGCCTGAGTTTTTGTATCCCAATCAGAAGAAACAGAGAAGAAAGGGATAGAGGATAGAGAGATGGCCCCCGCATGCCCCCGGCCTGTCGTTGGCCGGGGCGGTGCAGCCGATCCTCAGCTTGGCAGAGCCAGGCGGCGTCGGGCGGCAGCTCCAGGAAGACGCAGAAGCTGGCCTTCGACAAGTCGACACCCACGGCGCAGGCCGTGATCCCGATCACCGCCAGAAGAGGAGACGACGGAGACGGAGACGCCGCCTGAGTCTGAAACCGAGCGAGGAGCGCCTGCCGCGTCAGCGCCGGAGTGGAGCCATCCTGAGCATCGCTTCTCACACTTAGACTCCTCCTTCTCTGTCTCATAATTCTCATAGAGCCAGAGAGGTTTTTGCTAGAGTCTTTGGGAAGACCATAGGGGCAAGTTGAGCAGGGAATCGATTCGGAAGAAGCTGCAGCCTATGCCTTGGGCGAGGCTGCAAATCCGGTCGAGCACCCGCAGATGATGGGCGAAGAGGACAGCCTTTTGACCCATCGCAACGCACTGCTCCAGCTTCTCGCGGAGCCAAGACTGCGAGGCCACCAACTTCAAGAGCCCACAACGCTCCTGCAAAGTGTTGGCTTCAAGCTCTGCCTCGGATAGATGGCCAATGTGCTCCTTTGACAGAGCCAAGCGCATGAGGCGCCGCCGCTTGGGAGGCAAGTCCTCCAAGACCTCCTTTTTCCGTCGCCGTACCATCAAATTCTCCACCATCAGCAAACCCAGCTGCCAGGGTCTACGACAACGCTTCCCTCGGTCCAGGTATCCCATCTTCGAGAGTCTTGGCTCGTCGTAGTCTTTGGCAAACACTTCAAAGTCTCCGAGCAAACCAGGACACAGCAGGTCGGCTTGTGTAAAGATGTCCAAGAAGCTGGACCGGGAGGGGGTGCCAGAAAGCAGCAACAGTCGATCCAGCGGCCGCAACAACTCCAGAATTGCCGATGTGGCCGCCGAAATGCTAGACCCTCTGCTCCGCAGGTTGTGCGACTCGTCCACCACTGCTACTCTCCAAGACTGCCTTCTCAGATTTTGGAAAAGGAGGCGTGCCATGGTGTAGGACACGATGCACACACACAGCTCGCTTTTTGACTCCGGGCCCAGCATGTCGTTCGAGCTGTAAATGATGTGGACGTGCCGCGGCTGCAGTAGACCGGGCAGCCACTTCTCGATTTCTTCGGCCCATGTCAGCCGCAAGCACGCGGGGCAAACCACCAAGGCTGGCCAAGTGTTGTACGCCGCCAGGACCGCCAAGGCCTCGAGAACAGGGAAAACCATCCCCTGCATTTTTGTCCTTTTTTTTTACATCTCGTCAGAATTTGACACATTGAAGCTCGCTCCTGCGGGGTTTTGCCGCAGCCCATCTCGTCAGCGAGGAGGCAGCGGCCCTTAAGTTCCAAAGCGCGACGCACGCCCCGCCATTGGAAGTCCCTGAGGCGGCTTAGCACCGGGGCACGTGAGAGCGCACCCTCAATCAGCGAGCCGACAGCAACATCGTGCTGACCGTCGTTTCGGGCGAGCATCACCCCAGGCAGCGCCACGTCCATCCTGCGTCCACCACGGCGGGCGTGGGCATGCGTGGGCGTGCGGGTGTGCATGGTGGTACGCAGGTTCGCATTTGTGCATGTGTGTGTGTGTATACCCAACTCTGTTTCGAAGAGTTTAGGTATTGAGTCGACTTACTATAGCAGGGGGGAGCGGCACTAGATCAGGGACCACGTCCAACGAAGCTACCTGATCTCATGCGAAGCAGAACTTGGCCAGTTCTGTGTACCTGCACGTGACATGGTCAGAAGCAAAATATGTCTACAGGCCTTTTCAGCATAATTTGATTAATTGTCTTGTAGGTGCATCGATGAGAGGCTGTCAGAGATCTGTAGTGCAGATGAATTGAACCTTTTTTTCACAAGGGACTCGACTGCTGCCCTTACTGCCCAGCTTGACCCACAATACAGTACTCATGACTGCGATGCGAGATTGGCCACTTCGCGGCTCCAAGCTTCAGGCACAACTTGATACGAGACGACTTTCTGATATTTTGCATACAACTTGGAAGTGACATCATACAAAGTATGCTCGAAGAGTTCAAAGGTATCATGAATTGAACCTACACAATTGATTGACTGATTCTGATTCTCAGCAACTGACTTGAGACCTGGAGACATGTGCGATTCACAACAGAATTCCCTATGGGCGCCGCGTATTGGGGTAACTTTCATTGACTTTCTCTGATTCTATTTCCGTGCCTACACTAACTTGTCTTACGCGACGCATGAATACTTTTTTCCCACCCGCCCAGCTGACCAAGTCGTGTGAATACTGGTTGAGAAAGCATCATTTTGACTCCTCACAATGTATGAACGTGATTCTACCGCAGGTTTGCCTCAAGTGACCTTCTCTGAAAGAAACCTCCCAGGTCTCCAGTGAATCATGGCTCATCCTGGCAGTGCGATTCTGAAAGGCACTGCGGCATTGAGCGGTGTCTCCAGGCGCAGAGGGTTGGAGATACGCCACCCTCAGATTGGACGGTAGTTGGGAGCTGCCCACTTGTGGGGGAAGTCTGTGCGCTAGGCCTCCGGTGTTTGGGCGAAAGGTGGACTTGGTGCCACGATTGGCTGCAAGACTGAATCCTAAAGAATGTCCAGATCATCGTGTGCTTCTGACAATCAAAACGATAAAGATTGCTTTATGGCTGTTGCGCACCAAGGACCTACGCGGCAGGGCGCGGATCAAATGGTCCGATGTCAACAACCATTCTGGCATTTCCATGTGGATTGAGACCTGGATTAGCGGACGAATGTGGGATTTTCCCGAGAAAAGTAGTCATTGACTTTCGCGGTCTCTTGTGACCGGAACTCAGTTCAGGAATACCAACCGACTGGATGTCGTGGTAAGGAGGAGTGTGGATGTCCGATTGCTTGAACTGTGCTGCTTGAGCCCAGGGGCTTAAGCGCTTGCATGTGCAGAGAGTACAGCCTTGTCATGATCGGCAGAAGCCAGCAGTCAGCAGAGATCTCATCGCATGTGCTTGTGAAACACTCCGTTGTGCAATGATTCATGGTTATCCTGTGCTGCATCCCAGCATAAACTTCACGTCTTCAGTTAGGAAGCGCTGATCATTCCATTTCGATCCATTCCATGGTGATACTGGAATCATGTCAGCTCAAGACTGTGTTGATGATTGGTAGCAAGCAGTCTTAGAAGGTCGAATCCAGCCCAGAGTGTGGAGGGCTCTCGTCGCAACAGCTCGTTGCCGAACCCGCCAAGCTGGCTACCGGGTACCCAACGCCTGTAGAGTCTGATGTTTGGTCGTTTTTTGGTAGGTCATTCTACCAGATCGTTTGGAGAGCATCAAACTACCTTGCCGCTTGCAGAGTCAGAGTCTGAGTCTGACGCTTGGTTGCTTGTTTCTGTTTCCACCTACTCAGCAGCGTGCAAAGGTTGAGCAAAGTTTGATGCTTCGTAACTTGTAAAACCAGCAGAGGTTGACATTTGGTAGCTTGTCCAACCACAGTTTGACGTCTGGTAGCTTGTCCATTCATCCAGCAGAGCTTGATGTATGGCAGCAGAGTCGGTATGCAAGGGAATGCAAGGATAGAGCGGATTCAAACGGATTCAGAACGTATTCAATTGAATACGCCTCTCCCGGGCACCTTGAATGTTGATTCGCGGATCCGAGACGTATTCAATTGAATATGTTTTGAATCCATCAGAATACGAAATGTTGCGATTTGATCATTACTTGCATTTTGTATTTCCAGCTTGTCGTTCTGTGCACAGTAGTCTTCTTGTGCTCTACAGACACCGTTCTTTGCAT